TCCCAGGCTTGCAACGCCAATCAGCTGTTTGGCGCCGCAAGCCTGGAAGGGGAGGAGAATTAGAGCATGGGTGGCGTGCTCGGGGAGGAGGCGGAGCAGAGGTGAGCTGGGGAGCTCCCGCATGGCTCCCCGGGGGGGGGGGGGGGGGGCGGCCGGGGGGGGGGCTCAGGGGGGGGGGGGGGGGGGGAGCTGCGGGGGGGTTGCGGGGGGGGGCGCAAGGTGGAAGTTTTGCGACAAACTTCCTTGCACCGGACCTGCCCATCTGCCAGAAGATCTTGTACTTTGATTGTAAACTAGGGCTTGTCTTTTTGTTCTGTGTTTGTACAGCGCCTAGCATAATGGGGTCCTGCTCCATGACTGGGGCTCCTAGCTGCTATGGTTAAACAAATAATACATCCCCATAATACAGCAGCTTGTAGCATTAATTGAAGAAAACCCATCCCTGCGCCCACCCGCCATTGCAGTTGCTAAAGACAAGGAGAGGCTGGGTTTTTTTGGAACAAATCCCACGAATCTGAGGAGAAGAGAGAACAAAGATCCTTCCTCCTGCACCTCACCCCAGCTGAGGTTGGAATTGGGCTTCTTGCAGGATCGCAGCTCTGGCTCACAGAGCCAACCAAGCGCTGCGTCCTCCTTTGCTGAGCCAGCAGAGGCCGTGCAGAGCCTGTCTGGGCTGCAGGCCTTTGCTTTGCAGATATCTCACTCCGTATCAAGGGGCGAGTGACAACCGCGAGGCGGGGGCGCTTCTTCCTCTCTGAATCCAGGCCAGCCCGTCTGGTGGGCTTAGGACAGAGAGCCCTTATTTTTAAAAGCCATTTGAGTGTTCTTCAGGAACGCTTCTAAACGACGCAGCCTGCAGCAGCGCTGCTGTCGGGCTGTCTTGGGGCCGCTAAGGTAGGATACTGGAGTATTGTTTTAAAGGAATACTGCTGAGCTGGGATCTTGCAAGGTTACCGGAGTGGCTGCATCGTTAGACTCTGCAGGGAGCGGACTGACTGTCGCTGGGCTTTCATATCCCAGTGAGCCTTAGGAACGCAGGAATTGCCAGGCTGGTTCATCTAGTCCAGTATCCTGTCTCTGACACTGCCCAGCACTAGATGCATCAGAGGGATGTACTAGACATGCCACAGTGGACAGCTATGGACAGTGGAACAGGGAGGTCGGGGAAGCTCCTTCACTGGAGGTTTTCAAAAGGAGGCTGGAGAGCGGTGGTTTAGACACAACAAATCCTGCAGCTTGGCAGGGGTTAGCCTAGGTGATCCTTGTGGTCCCTTCTAACCCTGTGATTCTAACCTGGTAAAGGAATTTCCCTCCTTATTCTCCTCAGTTAGTGATTGGTTTATATCCTAAAGCTTGCAGATATCATTCCCTTATGTTTAATCTGACCTCATGTGACTACTCTCCAGTCCTTCTTTGGACCCTGCTCAGCTCCTGACCTTGGTGATATCATGGTGCAGTGAGTTCCACTGGCTAACCAGGAACTGAATGAAAGTGTTTCCTTTTAGCCATTTTAAATTTTCTGTCTTCGGTGTCATTGGACATCCCCTTGCTCTTGCATATGAGGGACTAAACAGGAGGTGCGCCCAATTCACCTCTTTTCTCTCATTCTTTATTTTCCAAACCTCTATTGTGCCCCTTCTTATTTGTCTCCCTCTAAACTAATCTGTCCCCATCTTTTCAATCCCTTTTAATCTTCAATTCCTTTAATCTATTAATACTTTAGTGTTCTTCCATCTGTAGATCTCAAAGCACTTTATAAAGCTGGGTAAGTATCTCATTATTCCCATTGCATCGGAGGGGAAACCGAGGCATAGCAGTGCAGTGACTCTCACAGGGTCATGCAGCCATTGGGCAGCAGAACTGGATGTAGCACCCAGTTCTCCTCTCCTTGCCAGTCATTCTGTCCCCCTGGTTCTCCTCCGTGCACCGCAGTATATGGCAGAGCAGAAACTACCCAGCTCTTTCACAGTGTGGACAACTTTGCAAGTTTAAGAGCCCTCAAGGGACCATCAGCCCCCTCTCCCACAGTCCCCTGCTCTATGGTTTTCAATATGTTTTGTTCATGGACCACCATGGTGAGCTCTGAAGCTCAGCCGTGCAGCGTGGATCATGGCTGGAGAATGGATAAGCTACATAAACAGTCCAGAGGACCCTGCACCTTCCAGTAGTGATCATAGAATCATAGAATATCAGGGTTGGAAGGGACCTCAGGAGGTCATCTAGTCCAACCCCCTGCTCAAAGCAGGACCAATCCCCAACTAAATCATGCCATCTGCAGTGTTCATGCCATGACTATAACCTGGCTTGGGACACACTGTGCTGGGATAATTTTCCTCCCTCAGGGTGGGATCCTTTCCCTAAATTGTGGAGAAACTCTATAGTAATGTCAGACCTGGGAGCTTCTGGTCATCTTCCCATGGACGCGCTTCCAGCCCCAAACCCTCAGTGCAGGCCAAGGGCTCTCTCCCCAAGCATGGTTTCTGGGAACAGAGTCCAGGTACGCTCCTGATTGGCCTCTCTGACACCAGGACCCCATTGCTTGTTCTGCCCGGCCTGCAGGGTGGACTGGCCACATGCATGGAACGAACGGGCACTCTTCCTGGAGCAGCAACAGACAAGGTCTCTGGGCCTTCACGCTGGGGTTCGGCCCCTGATCCTGACTCAGCTGTGTGGTGTGGGCAAAAAGAGATGAATCCCGACCTCGCCGGGGCGGCAGTGCGAAACGAACAGTGAATCGCCCCACTTGGAAATCCTGTCGTTATCTCTGTGAACTGACACTGATGAGGGGAATGGGAACTGCGTGGCTGTGTTATTTCCCCCCTGGCTAAATCTGGGGCTGTGGGATTTTGGCCAGTGGCTAGAGGATTTTTGGCACGGGATTTGGGGGGCGTGCCAGCCAGCCGCACCCGGGGAGCGGGTTTGGTGCTGGCCCAGGGAACGTGGGATTGATGGAGAGACAACCAGCCCTGCAGCGGGCTGGGTTGTTAGACTCTAATTCATGCGAAATCTGACACTGCAGATATTTGAAATCAATAAGCCACGTTCTGGGTTTTTCCCTTCTCTTTTGAGGGAGGGTTTTTCCTTTTGCTTGGCCGAGGCCTGGTAGGAAAGTTACAATTTGCTGAGAGCAAAGGCAGGGCATTTTAACCAGCTTACGACAACCCCAACGAACCCCCCTGCCAACACGTATGACATTGGAACTGCCTACCCTCAGAGGGGGAAGCCTTTGGTTACTGCAGTTTGTCAGCCTGTATGTATTGGTTGTGGGATTTGAGGCAGGTGGACTGGACCTGTGTGTGTGTGTGTGTGTGTGTGTGTGTGTGTGTGTGTGTGTGTGTGTGTGTAGAGGCAGGGCCTATATGTATGCCTGGGCTGCTTGCTGCCCTTTGGGGTACTGGGAAAAAATACAGTGTTGGGGTGTGTGTCAATTGGTGTGGCACCTAGTGTGTATTGAAATGTGTCTTGGATGTGTGCAATTTGTGGGTATTAAGATGTATGTGATATCTCCCAGTACACCTATGGAGCTAGATGCAATATGTGTATTGAAGTTTGTGTTTTTATTGTACAGAGCTCCAGGAATGCAGAGGGGGTGTGGGTGTGTGTGTGTGGGGGGAGGGAGGATGCATTGCCCTGCCGTGTGCACCTGTGTTGTGGTGTGTGGTTTGCAAGTCATTTTTACATCCCCATAGGTGCGTTGGGAGAACTGTGGGGCGTATCGGAGCAGGTGTCTTTGGGATTATAATTATTATGGGTAACAGCGTCACAAACGTGGACACACTTGGGGTGTGCCTGCCTGCTTATGTATTTGGGTTGGGGGGGGGGGGGGAGTGGCGTGAGGATGGGTGTGTATGGGAGGTGGGAGAAAGAGTGGCATTGACCTTTCCTGCAGGTGCACAGCAAGGTTAAAAAGTGAAAACCCAGTTTTACTGTCCTGGTAAAGGAGCACAGCTGGCTCTGAAAGGCCAAGAAATCTGTCTGTCTTGTCAAACTTATTTCTTCCCGTTGCCCCTGGGGCTGATGAATTCAAAGGGAGACTATTATTAGACTAGATCTTTGCATACAGTAAAATAAAAATGCCTGGGCTTGTGGCATGCATTTAAGGCTAAACTAATTGTTCAGAGACTCTCCGGGTGCCATGAGCCCTGGGCTCTGGATTTGCTGCGAGAACTGGGGGGGGGCTGGGGAGCAGAGTAGATTCCCAGCTCTATTTATGCTATTCCCGTGCATGGCCACTGGAGGGACCTTTCCCCTGCCCTCCCTTTCCCCTCCCTTACAGCTGTTCCCGCAGGAGACTGACAGCTGGCCCCAGGGTTGCTATAGGGATAGGCAAATCGCACTGGCTGTTATAGGTGGGGAGGCGGCTGGCCCCGCCCGGGGAGGCGGGGCCAGGCATTGCTCCCTATAAAAGGCAGAGTGCTCCATTCAGCACTCCAGTACTGGCGAAGCGGGGGCCGTGCCCGTGGGCGGTATCGCAGTGGGGCGCAGGGGAAGGGGGCCCCAGGCAGAGACCCCCGTCGGTGGCGATTGCCCAGCGTTGTGTCTTGGCGGGGGGGGGCATTGCACTGAGCAGTCAGCCTGGGGGGGGGGGGGGGGGGGTGCGGGCCATTGCCTGGGGGGGCGGGGGGGGGGTGGCAAGGCAGAGTTCGGGGGGCTCTTGTCTGCAAAGCCGGAGGCGAGAAGTGAGAGGCGGGCACCCAACAGCTACGGGTGCGAGAGCAGTTGTGCACCGTGCCCCTCCGATCCGGATTCCCCGGCAGCGCAACTTTTCCCTGAAGACCCCCCCCGAGCTCGCGTGGGTCGCTTCTCGCGTGGGTCGCTTTCTCCCCTCGCCCGCCTGCCTGCGGCTCCCCCCCCCCATGCGCCCGGTGCAACTTTCCCCGCGGAGCCCGTGAACGGCCCCAGCAATTCGATCCAGTCCGTAACCCGGCCCCGTCCCGGCTCCCCGCCTTGCAGGCGGGCTGCGCCGGGGAGCTCCCGGGCCCCGTGGGCGGGCGCAGCCCCGCGCCGCCGGGGCGTGGACTGAGATGGCCTCGGAGCTGGCCATGAGCGGCGAGCTGCCCACCAGCCCGCTGGCCATCGAGTACGTCAACGACTTCGACCTGATGAAGTTCGAGGTGAAGAAGGAGCCGCCCGAGGCCGAGCGCTTCTGCCACCGCCTGCCCGCGGGCTCGCTCTCCTCCACCCCGCTCAGCACCCCCTGCTCCTCGGTGCCTTCCTCGCCCAGCTTCTGCGCGCCCAGCCCCGGCGGGCAGCCGGGCCCCGGCGCCGCCCCGCACCCGGGCGGCGCCGGCAAGGCGCCGTTGGAGGATCTCTACTGGATGTCGGGCTACCCGCACCCGCTCAACCCGGAGGCGCTGAACCTCACCCCGGAGGACGCGGTGGAGGCGCTGATCGGCAACCCGCACCCGCTGCACGGCTACGAGGGCTTCCGCGGCCAGGGCTTCCCCGGCGAGGAGGCGGCCCCGGCCGGGCACCACCACCACCACCACCCGCACCACCACCACCCGCACGCGGCGCACCCGCACCACCACCACGCGCCGCACCCGCACCACCACCTGCGGCTGGAGGAGCGCTTCTCGGACGAGCAGCTGGTCGGCATGTCGGTGCGGGAGCTGAACCGCCAGCTGCGGGGCTTCAGCAAGGAGGAGGTGATCCGCCTCAAGCAGAAGCGGCGCACGCTGAAGAACCGGGGCTACGCCCAGTCCTGCCGCTACAAGCGGGTCCAGCAGCGGCACATCCTGGAGAACGAGAAGTGCCAGCTGCAGGGCCAGGTGGAGCAGCTCAAGCAGGAGGTCTCCCGGCTGGCCAAGGAGCGGGACCTGTACAAAGAGAAGTACGAGAAGCTGGCCGGCCGCGGCTTCCCCCGGGAGCCGCCCCCCAAAGCCTCGGCCGAGTTCTTCATGTGAACGGGGCAGGGGGGGTCCTCGCCCTCCCCAGCTCCCCCCCGGGACTCGCCCGCCGTCTACATAGAGGGGCCGGCTGCTGTACATAGACTCGTGTTTGTGTGTGTGTCTCCGGGCTCACCCAGCAGGCGCGCACCCCCCCGCTTGCGTCTCCTTCCCTGCCCGCCTGGGCTGCCCACCACGGCTTCAGCCCCGCGGCGAGCTCGCCTCCGTTCCAGCCGGAGCCCCGCGAGTCCCCCCCAGCGCCTCCTCCCGCCGTGGTACGTCTCTAGGACTTGGGGAGGCGAGGCAGCAAGGTGCGAGCCGCCTCCGAACACCGTCCCACGCTCACTCCCGAGTCTTAAAACATTGCGATCACGAAAACTTTAAAAAACAAACAAAAACCCCCCCAGATCAGACAAAGCTTTGGCTGGTGGGAAAGACAAACTGAACTTTCAAAGACTTGAAGCAATAGGGGGAAAAAATGAGCAAACCTCTGACATTTTTTTCTCTCTCCTGGAAAACTGGGTAACCAACCAAAATCGTTTGGGGGAGAAAAAGCGCATCCTAATGAAATCCTCCTATATCCTCTTCTTAATAACCGTACTCATTAATAAAGCCGCACCCAAGGAACTCCGCAACTTAGCTGTGGTTCGTAGAAGACTTTTTAAGCAATCCTGCATGCAGGACATGTATGGTATTTCAGTAATCTCCCCTTCTTTTCTACTAGAACAGATGAAGAAAAAGCATGAGCCAGTTTTTTTTTCTTGGTAATATTTTTGTTTGTTTTTTTCCCCCCCCAACGGTCAGTTTTTAGTTTGCAGCACTCTTTTGGGGTGCATCTTAAATAACAAATAGTCTTAACATGTTTGCAAAGTGATGTTTTCTCTCTCAGTGGAACAGTGCAGCAAAACACTCCCCAAAGGGACTGGAATATATCTCTTGGGACTTCAGACTCCAAAAAAGAGTTGAGTTGACCTGCTTTTTATCTCCTTCGTTTTCTTACTAATAATTCTTGTTGTTGTTTTAACAAGGAAACCTGAGCCAGACTTAACTTATTTAAAGGTGTCCACTTGTACATATGTAGAAATTTAGTTAGTTTTTTGCCCTTTTTTTTTTCTGAGCCTATATTTTATTTTGTTATTTAAAGAAAAAAAAAAAGTTAAAAAAAATCACAAGTCTTAATGAAAGTTTGTATGTAATAGCATGCAAATAATATAAGAATTAATTAATTTAATTATGTTGAAAAAGCCGAATGCACTATATACAGGAATCAATTGGATTAAATAATACTGTTTTATAGAGATTTAAAATTATCTATGCTGTTAAAAATATTGGGAAAAAAGTTAACATTCTAAGATGACCTGAAAGGCAATATAGTAATATATGGACTGCAATCAGTTGGCTGCTATATCACTATGCACCAGATTTATTTATTAACCCCTGGGAAACAATAATATTATTTTAACCTTGATGATTTTAAAAAAGAAAAGAAAATGCACATTATTTCTTGCAGAAAAAAAAAAAGCAATCTTGCAATTACGCTTTGTGTGAAAGTAAAAAAAAAAATGCATAACAGTTGGGGTTTTTAACAAGTTGCTTACTTTAAAAAAGGAAATCTTAGGGAAAACTGTAAAAGTCTTAAAAACAAACAAACCACGTGTGAACTTTGGCAACTGGTGCATTTTAGGTGCTGCTTGTGCAACGCATTTTAAATAACCAGTTTGTTTCAATTTCTGATGGTTTTAACTGTGTTGCATCAAGATAGAACTTATATTCATCTAGAGCTTCAGTTAAGTCTTTTTATATAAACTGCTGTTGAGCCTTGTGGGCTATTGCAACCTCAGAAACACCTATATCTTTTTTTTGTTTGTTCTTTGAATTGTTTCCTTTGTGTTCAGGCATCAATGCAAAAATTCATTTTAGCTTTCATTTGCTACGGACGAACGAAAAATAAATCTCTTTAGACATACCTATCTCTTTTTGCCTTCCTAGTTTTTGTAGGGAGGGGACATCATTTGAAATTTTTGCACTGGTGACAGTGGTGATTGTCTCTTTCGGATTAGATGTTTGGGGGAAATTAAAGCACACTCGTTTCTTTGCTTTGTGTACCAGAATGAAATGTGATGGATTAATCCAAATGTGGATTTGAGTTTAAATACAAAGGCAGGGAAATATATGCAACTGCAAACCTTGGACTGAATGAATAGTTAGGAAATTATTTTAACTTTGTTTTGGTGGCTATAGATGAAACAGTGTAAACTCCCACATTAAAAATTCGTTTTGCAGTTTAAAAAACTAACCCAAAAAATTGATATATTTGGAAAGCATGGTAAAAATTGACACTTTTTTTTTTTTAAACAAATGCATCAATATTTTGTCCATTTTTAAAGATGCACTTTCTTATTCTTCTGGATGATGTTTAGCTTTCTAGTTTAGTTTAAAGGACAGCACTTTAAAAATACAGTTGGTGTGTTTGGAGAAGCAAGATATCAATGGTAAAAAAATATGTTTAGGCTCATAATTTTTCGTCCCAAGTTTTCATCTATGGGGGAAAAATTTTGAAAACATTTTAGTGCTATTTCTGGTACTTTTTCATTTCCAAAGATTTGGTGTGAAATAATTTTAAAACCTCACCGTTTATTAGCCTGATTTATTTTTTGTTTAAATGCTGAAAAATTAAATTTTGGGAGAGAGTCCTTGGAATTAAGTGGTGGTTTTACACTTTGAAAGAAAAAAAAATCAGAAACACTTTATCTGAATCATTCAATATATGGGATAGGCGTTATTTAAAAGGTTTGTTTTTAAAAAGGACTATTCAATTGAACATTTTTAAGTGCATGTTTTCCATCTCCATTTTAATTTTCAGAGTGCTGAGATTTAGAATGATAAAGGATTTGATCAGAAATCGGAGCATTTTTTCCGCACTTACCAGTGAAATCATTTTCTTTTTAAACAAAGAATTATTTCCACACCAAATGAATGCGCTCAATAGTGTTTAATGCTGTCTCTCTCTCATACCCAAATCAGTCCATTGACTGACTTTTATTTTAAATGGCAATAAATAGTTTAATTTCCTCTCTTGGATCTTGTTTAAGAATTTTTAATTAAAAAAAAAAAAATCCTCCCCAAACTAATATGTTAAACTGCACTTTAAAAATAGAAGAACAAGCAGTGAATGGCTTTAAATTACTATAAAATGACCAGAAATATAGTGGATTTAATTTGTTTGTTAAACATGCCTGTGGTGGCGATCCTCACGGGAGGGAATCTTTTGGGTGCCAATTAAAATCCCCACCCCCCCCCCCCCCCGGTCCCTTTTTCAGAGTCTGATTTTTGAATTGTTCCCCAGTTTCTCTGAGTCTGGTGGGCTTGCTTTAGACTTTGTGCTGCTCTCACTTTGCAGATGCGAAATGGATCGCTGGCTGGAGGCTTTGGTTCCATTTCAGGGTGCAGAGTTGGAAAGCCGTTCCCCGAGGAGAGTCTCCTTGGCCTGGAGGAAGAAGGGTTTTTTTGCTTGAGGGAAGCTGAAATGGACGCTTGGCATCTGTTCGGCATCGCACCAGTTTTATTTAATGGGAGGGGAAAATGGCAATAAATGTGACGCTGGGACTGAGGATGGAGGGTGAATGGGAGCGTGGCAATGCTGCTGGTGAAGCTGCCTGCCTGGCACCTTTTATAGATCAGTCACAGAAGTTAAAGATGGGAAAGACTGATTAGCTCATCCAGTTCATTCTCTTGGCCAGGACAGGCTTGGTCTGTATTGTTCTTTTCCCTAGTGCTTTATCCAGCCTAGTTTATCTAACCCAAGCGAGGGGGCATCCACCCTGAATACTCCGCCTAAATTTCTCCCCTTGTTAATTTCCCTTCCAGTTCGATCCCCTCCCACTGTCCTAAATATTGTGGGCATTTCTCTCCTCAAATCGTTCAGCTCCTTTTTAGGCAAATATTTGTTGCCTCATGATATGGACAGTTAGCGAGATTCCTGACGTCTCAAAGCACTTTTTTTGTGGATTTGCAGGCGCCCTGTGTGAGTGAGTGTGTGTGTGTGTGTGTGTGTGTGTGAGAGAGAGAGAGATTGTTGTGTGTCCGCTACAGACTAGATCGGAATCTCGAAATCCAGAGGTTTAATATCCACAGAGAGAGAGATCCATATGCTATATAGATAAGGGCCTAATCCTGATTCTGCTCCGACATCCTGGTGAATTTTGCTACTGACTTCAGTGGGAGCCGGATTGGGCCCTGAACATATAGAAAGACGCTCTCTAGGAAAGTAAAAATGTAAGATTCCTGCAAAACCTGCCTGTGCAGGTTGAGCACGCGAGTATCCCTGGCAAAGATGGGGGGAAACGCGTCAGTCAGTCCATCCCAGAATTGTTTTCTGTCTTCTTGGTGTCTTTTTGCCATGTGGAAGCCGCCCCCCCCCCCCCCCCCCCACACACACACACCCCACGGGGATTCGGACACTGTTAATGGCATGGTTTCTCTCAAATGGACAGGGCAGGGTAGGTGTAATTTGTGCTGGACTTGGGTCAGTCGTTCGGATTTGATGAACGGCCGCAAGTGTTAACAACGAGGAAGCCTTTTGGGAAGGAAACTGGCGCTGTTTCTTTTAAAGCAAGGGAACGGATACCAGCTTTGATCATCGAATTTCGTCTTGTCAATTGCACCACTTGCTGCTTTGCCTATTTTTTTGTTTTGTTTTGGTTCAGGGCCCTTCCCTGGTGGTGATGACCCTGAAGCCTTTTTTTTTTTTTTAATTCTAGTTTAATTTCCCCATTTCATTGTGAGACGGTGACTGTGGGTTGTCAGATCCCCAACGTTTACTTAGTCTATGCTGGGTCCCAAGCCCCTGCAGTAGAAGTCCCTCGTAATTCCCCTGCATCTTTCCACCCTTAACCCCCACCTCTGCGTTTTCAGCCAGCAGTCCCGGCCCAAGCCAGTGGGTGTTACTAAATAAGGAGAGCGGAAAAGTTGGTGAGGGAAAGGGGTTTCACTCTAGGAGAGGGGCTTCCCGCTCCCCCACCATAATGACTTGAGACTCATTAGCTCCGAAGCAATAACTCTTTAGGCGAGCGACTGAAAATGAAGCTGCTTGACAGCAGCCCGATTGGAGTTGATAGGACTTTAAAAGTGTGTCTCTGAAAACAAAGGCTAGGAAAGTTTTCACACCCACAAAGAAGGGTTTTGTAATATTGCCCGTCTCTGGGCTAGATCGTCTTCCGGTGAAAATTAGGTTGGCTCCATTGTGGATCTGACTCTCTGTTTGGATTGTGTCCCATGTGATCTATCCGCTGTGTGTGTGTGTACATGGTCCTCCGTGAATCATGTACACTTACCCCCTTGCACTCGACTGAGATCAGTTAACTTCACATTTGGCAATTTTACTGTGGGTGCGTGTGCGCATATGATATTCAAGCATTAATTAACTCCATGGATTCCCCATTACAATCCAGTCTTTTTTAAGTAGAGTACCGGTCATTCAGCTGTCTATAGACCAGTCAATAGTCACTTAGTCTAGTTGCTTATTGAGTGAGAATATCTTGTGCTCGGATAGGCCCAGGAACTGTGACTACTTCTTCCGCAGAAGGAATAGTTGAGTTGCTTTTTGGCCGTTTTCTAGCTTGAAATCTATCGGCGTATATTTCTCCCCTCTGTTACATGCGATTTAGTATTAACATGACTGTCTTCACTCCCCCATCACACCCCTGCTCAAGTGCATGGCCCACAGGAGCAGAATAAAAGACCAAATACAATTTAATCCGGTTCAATCCGGACTTGCTTGCGCTTCATCTCTGGGCTGAGCTGGGACCATGCTTCCCAGATCACCCAACGAAACCACGAGCCCTTAGAGCGTCTGAGTGAGCGGAAATCTTGACTTACACAGTGACTCCATTGTACCTTTTGGGTTAAAGTGTGACAACTCCCTTTTCCGTGCCCCCAAGTCCGATGGACATTGGTGGCGGTCTCCCTGCTGTAGTGCGTTCTCTGTGACAACGGCGGTTGGCGTTAGCATATTATGGTAAGCTGAGGGCTATCCGAGGAACTGCGGGACATGAAGTTAATTGATCTCAGCGGAGTGTGTGTGTGTGTGTGTGTGTGGGGGGGGGGGAATGTA